GCCAGCAGTTAGTCAACAACGTATTAACCTTGAATTTGTTTCACAACATAAAACGTTAGCAGAACATGATATTCTTTATACATTCTTTTCCACACCGTACACAATGAGGGTGTATGTGTGTGTGTGTCAAATACACCAAAGAAGCATAACTCAACACAGTAGCTGCTACTCTGCATTCGTAAACGCCTCCCTCAACAACAGCAACGTGCCCAGAAATTAACTTTAAACACGTGAATTGTAAATGATGAAAATGTAAACCCCGAACATGCTTTGAATACCAAATAGGCAAACAGATACAAACTGTCATCTAAACATATGGGGGAGAAATCGACAAGAACAGAAGCCATGAATGATTGTAGTATAACATTTTATCATATATCTTCTGCCCTACTCCCTCTCACCCCTCCCCTCTGTGGCTCGGTCATATAGAAAAGGACCGTGATTTGCCAACATTAAATATGTCTATGCGAGCTAAATGTTATTTATAGGGCTGTGCCTTGCACTTGTTAGAATGAAAGTGAATCCGTTTGTGGGATTTCTATTGGAGTGAAGTGGAAATATTTGATTCCCTTTTTATGACATCCTAAGGACGGAAATACCTTATGCTCATACACATACAAACACAGCATAGAGAATTTCTGAGTAGAATTCGTTCTTTTTTTGGCCAAGAACGGCGATGGATATTTGTCGTTTTCGTTTTTTTGGAATGCCTAATATAAGTGGCATAGTCGTGCTGATATTTGATGGAATTTCTTGGCAACGTCAAAATGTCTGCATGGTTGATAGGACATCAAAAGAAGACCACTAGGTAAATATGGCAACCAAAAGCCATCCCACAGCTGCGGCTATGCCATATACATACATACTTAAGCAAAGAGCATCTCTTTGATTTACTTTTCCCTTGTCATTATTTGTAATTGACTTTAATTCGAAATCTGATTTAGGCTAATACCAGTAAAAAATACAACAACAACAGCAACAGCAACCGGGAGCACATAGAGTGAATATCTTAAAACAAGAGCAAATAGCTATATACCAAAGAGTATGAAGATAGATAGTGGTGGGATATAATTTTTAGCAGGTCACATCAGAATATTCTATGAGGCATAGTGAAATTGTTTAGACTGTTAGTCGTGTGGAACGCTTACCAAGTGACCTGATATTAAATGGTGGCTAAATTTACGAAGCCGTGTCTTATATATGATGACAAATAAAATTGTTGGGAATAAACTGGATGAGAAGCGGAATAGGTAAAATGATGTAGGCTAAAAGGCGTTCTACATCATTTCAAATTTCTTCAGTTTGAATTCGAAATAATTTAAAGTACGTAATAAATAGTGGTGAGGGGTTGTCGGGCATCCCATCGCAGAAACTGGGATGTAAGAAATATACAATATATGATGTTTTATTAACATAAAGCTATATGATATATAACTTTAAGTTTGGATTTCTGTATTAAATATTACAGAAAACAGTTTCAGGATGTAATTCTCCACAAGATGTTGGAGACTGTTCGCAGTGCCCGGTATTTTAACCAAAAATATTAAATTAAATTTGTGCCACTATCAATCATATTATCCAAGCCAAACATTACATCAAAGATCGTGTACGAATGGTAATTTGGAAAAATATTTATGTGGGGGTTCATAGATATTTGGAAATGAAAAGGCAATAAGTCCACTTTTTTTAAAAATTGAGATTTTAATATAGACATGTTCAAAAAGTAAAATTACTTCCATTTAATAAATGCATTAAATAATTATGAACTTGGTTGTTGTTGTGTAGTAATAAGTAATGGTACTAAGTCCTATTTGTTAGATGTCGCTGTCTACTCATTGCCGTTACATGTTAAGTCAGCGATATACATTTTTTAAACTTGAAATGATTACTTTAAACTTATTGAAACACAAAAATATTCCAAAAAAAATTTTGTTTGTTTTTTGTTAAAGTCCACACCTCAAGGCAGTTGTCACTTTTTGGTGTATAGAACTCAAATTCGTATTTCTTTAAATCCCCAACAACAACAAAATATATATTTAAAAGTTTAAATGGCCTACAATGTTTGGGATTTAGGTTACAAACATCATATCAATTCTTAAGTACTACTGTATTTTTCTTTATATTAAGTTGTAGATTTCCTACCCCTGTAGAACTTTTCAGCAAGAAGCTGCTTCAGCCCATTCTTGCATGCAGTCTTCGTTCTGACAACAATAACAACGTAGGTGGTTGAGATTGTAGTTGTTGGCGATGATGGTAGTGGTGATGGTGGTGTACATGAAGATACCAAACAACATGATGAACTCTTTCCTTATTTTTTTCTTCTTTCTTTTCCCGTTTTCTCGGTTTCCTTTCTTTTCTTATTTTCGAATGTGTTCTAAATAAGACTGTTGGGAATTGTTCATGCAGTGCCATTGTGGAAAATGAAAGTTTACATAAATATACAAAACATTTATTACAATCCCACATGACTCTCAAGAAAGATGTGGCACAGCAGAAAAAAACGGCAACAACAACAGCAAAACAATGAAAACAAAAATTGAAACTCTCAAGAAAAACTTTTCATTTTATTGAAATGTGCAAGACATGTGGTGCTAGTGGCCAGGAGTGGGGAAAGTGGTGTTGGTATTTATGTTAAATATGAGTCAGGCATTGCAATCGATTTTAATGCACAAAATCTGTAGAGAGTTGTTACAGCATCAAATTATGCATGACTTTTAATGTTTAAAATCTCTATCAATAATAAATTACCTTTCATTCAAAGGGAGATACTTAGAATGATTTACAGAGAAAGAAAACATTTTAAATTTATACTCGTTGTGCCAACAACAACATTTCCAATTCTTAAAAATTTGTAAAATAAAATGGTAGCTGTTAGTTGCTTCTGAGCAAGAGTATAAATTAACACTTGTTAATTTTGAATCTAGTTAAGTTACGTTTCCTGACAATTCTATAAAATAAAGCTATTTAAGGCCTGTTTTGATTCTAAGGAATTCACAATCTTTTTGCAGCCTTTTTATATAATTAACTGTGTGTAAGCAGGTCTGACCTACTTTTGCACGTTCAAATGTATGTTAAACAGTTGCACACGTTGATCGCATTACAAAATGTCAACATTAAAACTTTTGATTATTCTAAGAAAATGTCATCCTTCTTTTGAAACGCTTCAACGTTTCACGTCACAACTGTGTCTTTGTTATATTTCCCTATATCTTTGAAATCCCTGAAAGCAAAAACAAACAAAAATTTAAAGCTTTAAATAAAAATTTCGAAATGTGCCATAGAGACTTTATATTTATTTGACGTAGAGATAAGGTAAACAAACATCTCTGGAGGAAAATAATAATCTTCACAACAGATTAAAAAAAATCGAGAGTGATATGTATACGTATATAAATTTATAAGTTGTTCTCGAGAATTTTGGATTGACATGCTGATGTGATATTTAAGGACATTTTTTGAAATCCCATTTTTCAGCATTAACATACTGATGACATTAATTGAATTTATTATACGGAAATTGTGTGTTCATTTGCATTATGCTTGAGAGAATTTAAGGTTGATGTCCTTTGATGTAGTATTAATCGTAGGCTATTTTTCTCCAAAGGAAACCAAAAAATAAATAAATTAGAAACCATAATGAAATTAAACTGTTTGGAACTTTATAAACAAAGCACGTGATGCATTTTTTTACATCACAGCATAACCTCTAATATTTTCAAATAGTAATTAAGGTTGAAAGGAGGGGCGGTTTAATCAACCACATGTCCGGCATTTGGACGTACACTTAAGCAAGTCAAGCCCTGTTATGAGCTTTAGAAGAGTAAACAAATTAAAAGAAGGAGTCTTGAGATTTTGTGTCCACAATGAAGTCATTCCTTAATTTTTTTATTTACATGTCCTCATGTCAATTAAGTAATTTCCCAAGAATTGGTTTTGCAATATCTAGACAGTGGGATAGGATATTTCCAACAAATCGTTGCCTTCCCCGTGATTCCAAGTATTCAATTTTGAGTAAATTTGCATGCATACTGGGGAGTCCCATGAGAATACTCGTCAGTATGCTGATTTCCTTTCTTTAAACATTAATATTTGAAATACAAAGTGACAGTCAACAGACTCATATGTTAGAATTGATTTATTGGTATTCCACTTCAGTTTACTGCCTTTAATGACTCTCATCCCTCTCTTAAAATCAGATTCACATTAAATAAATAAATAAAGGCCGATACTAACCGCCGGATCTACCTTCCGGTAGTGTAGGTTTGGTTCCCCCACCTTACATGTATTATACAGACTCCCTACATAATCGGTGTTATTGTCCTAATTTTTCCCCGATAGCTATATGTTGCTTAATCAGCAGTATATTCATATATTCCTTAGCATATGACTGGTCCATGCTTTGTTAGTCTGGTCAACTCGGAAAACTTTTAAGTTTTTTAAGCGTGGTCTTTTACTTTAGTAACTTGCCAATTTTCCGAGATACCTTTATTGAGATAACATCAGCTTTCGCTATAAAGCAGTCAAAATATTTTGTAATATTTGAACGAATGATTTTGTAATTTTGATCTCGACACTCGTACAAACTAATGTACGGGTATATGTATATTTGTCTTAAATATCTCAGGTATCACTTCAACATGTCGAATACAATACTATTTTTGCTACCATATAAACGAAATATTCTTTTATTATCTTCGTCTTTTCTTTTTTAAATTACTAAAAGCAAATATTTCGATTTCCCTTTGCCAATTGTTGCTGATTATTCCTGTGAGCTATTTTCTAAAGAATATCAAACATTAAAAATAGTTCTTGAAAACTCAACAAAGTAGAACAATAGAATATAATTAATTAAACTCTCGTTCGCACTTTGGCGCGAAAACTTGCTAATGTAAGAGATAACTTAAAAATTGTGTAATGCGTTGCTTGGCTAATTTAACACAAAATAACAACAACAAAAAAGTTCAAGAAAGAAATTATATATATAAAACTTTATTACTTACATTCAATTAAACACATTATATTCGCCAAGAACAGGAAGAAAAAATAAAACTGATATGAAGAACTTAGCTGGAACGATGCTGGGGTAATTGTTGAAATCCCGTAACATTACATGAACTTGATGGTAAAAATGCCTGGAAATGTCTGTATGTTTGTCTGCTGCTAGTTAGTAGTAATAACTGTAAAATATATAAAAAGAAAAAAGAAACGACAACAAGAATGTAATTAGTATTATTTCAATTCTCTTTTTTTATTTTTATTTTTTTTTTTGTTTTTGGTTCTTTAAAAACAAAAAACCCGTCAGTGGGAGTCAAATTCTCAGAAACAAAGTGATGATGATAATAAAGGCGAAAGAAAGAAAGACCAATAAAGGTCAATATCTACAAAGATGATTATAATGAGAAAATGAACTGAATATGAATCGCTACAAGACTATTTAATGGTTAATGAGGAAATCGAATATGCAGGGCTAATGAATGATAAATGGATAATAAAAAATTGTTTGGTAAAAAGCAGGATAATTCACTCAAATTGGCATATTTTTTATAAGGTCTTATTCGGTCGATTTTTTAAGTCTTAATTGGCACAAAAAAGGAGTATCAATAATTTTTCTGATTCCATTTAAAGTACAGATTAAATTTGTTTACCCTTTGACTAATTTTGAATAATGTTGTTTGAAATAGAAGACTTGTCAAAACCATTCAAGTGCTTAGATTTGTGAATATAGATTCATGCTTACGTATATAAATGCCGTACTGCGTAATTTATGGTACATATTGACACCATTTAACAAATGTATTAAAAAAAGTTAAATTCGCCGAATGTGTCCCTACCCAGAGTAGCTTCGGCATTTGATGGGAATATTCGGAACATTGGAGTTTATATCCTCTAAACGTTCTATTTTGTTTTAATATGCGACGCAATATTTAAGGCTATATTTTCTAGCGGCGGACGTTGACGTCTCAAGGTCACACACACTATCAGAATGTGCCCCAATGCCGAAGGTCACCTACACATATGCTAACAAATTACAAACTTTACAATGGAAGTATATCGAAGCTCTCGCAATGAAATGAAAATTCCATAATTTGTATTATTATAATGATATCTCTTATTAAATTATTTGAACCTCTACAATATTATGTTTTAAAATTCAACCTCCCGCTAAAAAGAACACCAACTTTAATACCACCACATTTTCGGTAATTTCTCATCAAGTCATTGTTATCAATATTTTCATTCCTGACATTATCATGTTGCTGCAAAAGCTATATATTTACAAATGCAAAATCATAAATTGAATATTTGCCTTTTCCTGCCAAAAAAAGCACAACAAATGAAAATTGTTAAATTGTTTTGTACAAATTGTTGGCACATGCCAAATAACAAATCATTTGCTGGGCATTGTTGCAGTCAAAAATTCGCAAGTTAATTAAATTCACACGTTTGTGTGCATTTGTAACATATGCCACAATGCTTCGGCAGTCGGCCAGGCAGCAGCAGCATCACCTCCCCATCACCATCATTATTGTGAAATTGTAACATTGTTAAAGTGGCGAAATAACAACATTCGGATATATTTGAAACTAAAAATTGCCCGGTAAACCGAAAATGGTAAAAATATTGTTTATGCTCTTTATGGCGATGATGTTGGCGGTGCGGAGGATTGCACAATGGAATTCGAATGGAATTTTAATTAGCATATGAACCTTTTGAATTGTGCGGCCAGAGTTAATGGCTTAAACAAATAACGCGCCGTCAGCCAGGCTATGCAAATCAACAAATGAATGAATGAATAAATGGTGGACTTGCCTGGGGAGGTGGAATGGTATAATTTTGTTGAAAACATCAATGAGCATTATTGGCAACTGGCAAAATGTATACATGTGTGTTGCTGTGTGTACATATTCATGAACCCCTGGATGGATGAATGGATAAATGTACGCCCGGATATTTTTAGTCTCCACGTGAATATACCGAATCAACAACAACAAAATATGCACATAAATGGAAACTAACACCAAATCCTGCGAGACGTGCGCCGCTCATTCATTCGCACACCACTCAGTCAGTTCAATTCATTCAGACTTTATGCCTTGCGTACAATTGCACATTCGTGAATCCATTGTAAATACAAAGCAATTAGTCGTATACATCACCTATTCGAATATGTATGTATGTAGATGGTTTACCACGGTGTTGCACTTCCATATACATATATCAATATGTTTGTGCGCACTCGTGTGTGCAATGAATGTGGGGGTACATCATGCAATTCACATGTCTGCTGGTGTAAAATACCAGAACCTGCCAGAATAGTATAAAAGTAACTTAACCATTCGAGTGTGAGTGAGCTGTTGACAGGACTACTTGACGGAAACGAAAGCAAAACTTAACCACAATACAATAAACTGAAAGTTTTTTTTATTTTTGTTATTTTTTTGTATGTGGCATTGATGTGTTCAGTGATCGTGTTTAGATTCCAAAATGTTAACATGTCTTTTGCAAAACAAGAAGTCGAAATAGGGTATAGTTCGTGCTACTAACATGAAAGTTAGATTGCAATTAATTGCCAACATTGATTGGTAGATTGAGGAAAAAAGCTAAACAAACAGCAGTAGGAATAGCATCAAAGGTAAGACACTTTCAACAATGGTTTGTACTTTTCATCGATCTGAAAGGAATACTATGGAAAGACTGTTCAAAGTGTTCAAAATTTATATGGAGTTGAAGTCTAAATTTTTTATGTAAATGAACACAGCAGGTGACAGAAGTATGTGGGTGTGTAAAGCACCATCATTAAACGAAATATGTGGGAATCATGCACACCATTTAATACGCCACATCTTTCTGAAGAAAAGCGTACTAAACCATATGACAATATTGACCTCTCACTTCATAAGTCTTTTTACCTTCAAAAAAGATCAAACTCATAAACTTGCATACATTCCTCGTAGTATCAGCAATCGTCGAGAGTCCGGGAGTTCATGTGCATGTCTGTGCTATGATCAGTCTGTATACAGACATCTATCAACTTGTTCAATAGTATTTGGAGGACAAAAAGTATTTCAAGTTTAAAGTACCATATTTTTATTGCAAACATGTTGTTGTCCAATGTTATTTTCTACCCTTTCAAGTTCCATACCGAAACTAATTATAGAAAATGAAATGACAAAACATTCCTTTTATTTGTGAATGTTATTGGCTCCTTTGGAATCTATCATTCAAAATAAATTGTCACTTCAAATCTTTTCAAAAGTATTTGAATGGAAAAAAGAAACATTAAAATTGTACGAGCCAACCTGTCTTGTCGCCAACACAGCCCAAGCATACTGTACCTTGGCCATGATGCACAAACGTTCTGGTTGGCTGTGTATGTGTGTGTGTGTGTGCTGAACTCGTACATGTTATTCGTGTTGATGCACATTTTAGCCCTTATTTGCAGTTGTTCGTGCGGAATTTATGCAAACGTTAACAAAAACAATGTTAATTTCTATTAATGGCCACTTTGAATAGCTTTGCTAGGTTGTTACTAAGACCAGGCGAGGAGAATACTAACAACTTTGACTTGTTCTTTCTTTGTCTGTCCGCCGTTTGTCTGTCTGTCAGGGTTGTCAAATATTTCTCTTTTTTGTCCCCCCATTTTTAACAAATGAATGCAGCCAACAGCAGTCAAGGCAAATGCATAACAAGCATGTTGTAGTTGCATGTTCTTGTTCTTCTTCTCCTCGTCGTCGTTGGTTTTGGTTGTTGCTGTTGTTCTAATGATGACAAGTTCACATGAACCTTGGTGACAATATTGTGTTGCAGTGCCAACATAGGCCAACACTCTTCTGTCGTTTTGGTATTTGTTTTGAGGATTTAAATGAATGGACCGTCATGCAGACAAAGTGTCAGTCAGACAGAATGGCAGGGGTGTTCGTTGACTTTGTGTCAGGTATTTCTTGTTTTGTTTTGGGCATATTTTTCAATGACAGACGAAACATAGAATTCTCATGTTACTTTTGCTCTCTATATTCGACTGATTTAAAATAACATTCAACATTAATGGTTGTTGGTATTGTTCGGTTGCAGGTAGCAACTACTACTTCGTTAGGTGGCAGCTTTTACGATGGATGAATTCTATAGAGCACAGTGGTTTTGATTTTACTTGGCTCGAGTTGGGCAATATCGTTTTTGAAGCGGCTAGCTCTGGGATTAAGCCCTCCAAAACTGGGATTACTTCTGACAATTTTCAATGAAAAGAGGTACCATTTTATGGGGCTGTACCTAAACGTGAGTCTATATGATCCACCTGCGAACGTGACCTATCTGCAAAAAAATACTAGTGTGTGAGTAAATTTACATCGAATTGTAACCAGCTTAAGAAATATTTTTGATATCGATGTAGGTGTACGTAACTTCCAGTTCACACTCACTAATTGCAATACTCCGCACCACTGTTCCCTTTTTCTATTTAAGTTTTCTGACTGTTGTTTCTAATCCGTTTTTGTGCTTAATTGTTTCTAAAGGTGGGTTGTACCTTTTGTTGTCGCAATGTTTTTCATAAACAAAATCACATTTAACGAAGTGTTAAATTTATTTATTTTTTTTTTTACAAAAATACCTCCTCATAGAATGGCGCAGTGAAGGTGTAGAGCTGTCATTGTAATTTGTTGTAAACGTTTTATTTTGCCATTTTTTTCTGCAGCTTTAACCATGAATAATTGCAAAGTTTTTGTGTTGTTGTTATTTACTAACTCAAATATGCGAACACGAACATTCTAGGATGGGTACAACACAAGTCCTTGGTAAAATGTGGAGCTGTTGGATTTTTATAATGAAGGTTGGCTGTCCATCATTGTTTGCTAAAAAATTGAATGTTAAATATTTGTCGAATTATTAGCAACAATGAAGGTTACTGAACAAATATTGGCCCATGGAAAAGTTTGCAATACGTTTAAGTCACATTAGATCAAATTTGTTTCTCAAAGCAACATTTGTGTGCCTTTTTCCCAGAAATTTTGTCTGTGGATAATTCAGATGAATGTTTTGAAATTTCTCAATTTGTATTCGCAGAATTTTGTCGCTAATCATAATGTTTCTTTTCCAAAAAAAAAAAAAAAAACTCTTCAAGAAAAGCCTACTTATAAATTTATGACTTT